CTCAGCAACTTGTATTGTAATTTAATTAGCATTGTAACAGTGTGGATAGGTGGGGTGTTTTAGTGGTGATTGGGTTGTGAGGGCACCACCCTCAAAACAGATTAAGGCACTTATCACAGTAGTAGATTACTTACATGGGAATATGCTCCTGATGAAAGGATGAATTCAGTCCAGTTGTTCTCTCTGACTTGCGGTGCTCACTTGCCTTTGTGGCCACATTATTTATGATGTACCCTGGAGGCCCTTGATAAATGTCAGCACATGACCTTGGACTTCTACCCTCCAGAACTATGAACTACATAAATTTCTGTTGCTTACCTATTAGTAGTCAGTGGTTTTCTGTTATAGCAGCAGAGTATAACTAACAAAAAAAAAAAATAGACATGGAAAATAACTGGCTTATATAAAAGTGAAAATATTCATCCATGAGCTGATACTGCATAAAAGCAAACTGGAGGATACTGAGAAGTATCCTCTATAGCCAACTAGACTTAAAACTTGAGCAATTTTAAAGTGAAATAATATCTTGTTAAAACTTTTTTTACATAAATTGAGTAACATGTCAGAAAATTCTGGAAATACAGAGTTTTGGTATTGGCTTGAAAAGAAGTTTTAAGTTTTCATGCAATCGATTAAATGTTTCCTCTAAACTGATAGCAATAGGAATACCAAATAATATATATAACATATCAAATCAAAATAATGTCTCAAGTTGCCTTAATACAATGTTGGTAATTTTAATCTCAAATCATTTAAATTCATAAATAAAATTTACTTATAACACTGAGTTAAATATTTTAGTTTAGATGAGAAACCAAATATTATTCCTATTTAGTGTGTATGATCCATTAATTTTATGTATGTATATATATATATATATATATATATATATATATATATATATTCAGGCATTTAGTAAGTAATTATTCAAAACCCACTATATGCCAGACACTGTGGATGCAATAATATATAAGACAAAATCATTGCTTTTATATTCAGGGGACAATTGTAATTTAAAAATCCACATATTCATAAATGCACTATTTCATTAATTCTAAAATGAATTATTTTATACTTGATGTCTAAATGCAGCTGTATCTTAAAAATAATTAAAAATCAAGACTGAGAAAACACTAACAAACTTGCATAATGAGGACTAATAACAGAATACAATCTCAGAGAAAATAATGTAAAACTCTTTGAAAAAATTGTCCTTCATCACCACTCCTCAGAGCACTAAAAATAATATCACTTTGAAAAGCAGAGATGCTGATAAAACTGACTTGAAAATATAGTCAGAGAAATTGGATACTAAATGTGAACAAGTTTTAGGTTTATTATCAATAGTTTCTTTCACTTGCATTTTTCTTTTATGGGTATGCAAGAGAAGGAATTATGATTAAAATCCGCATCGCTATTACTTCCAAAGATCTCTTGTATTAAATGTAAAATGGAAATTATAAGTGATAAGAGAGGGTTTTGTGAATAAAATTGGCAGTACTTTTTCATTAGTGGTATTAAATATCGATTGATTGATAACAATGCCAGAAATTATGGGGTCTTTTGGGGGGCAATCTTGGCTGTGTTCTTTCATAAAATTACAATCAAAACATTGTCTGGGACTTCGGTCATCTAAAACTGGACTGGAGTCAGGTGATTCGTTTACAAGGAAGCCTGCTGTTAGCAGGAGGTCAGGCTGACTGCCTACCTGGGCCTCTGCACATCTTCATGAGTTTTCATGGTGGATACCTTTCCTCAGAGAGAGACTCATTGCTACTTCTGCTGCAGCCGTTTCTTCAGTTGTTCATTATTTAATATTCAAGAGAATGGAAATTGGGCTCATCCTTCCAAGGAAGGCTAGTTAGGGATTTTATTTACATATTTAAAGACATAAGATTGGAGATAAATTCACAGTATTTCTTAGATATGGTAATATTATAGATTCACTGAAACATATGAAGTGCCATGAATGAATCAAGTTGGGTAAGAGGGACAGAGAACAATAGAGTTTTTCTACTTTAAAAATGATTATTTTTGAAATGACATTCAAAGAGAGTGAGGAACTAAATGAAATGACAATCTTCAGAAGAACTCGGAATACAGAGATGCTAGAACAAAGCTTAGGACATTGTAGCACATCGGATGTACTCTCTCAACTACGGGAACGTCATGGTACATTTTGAAATCAGTATTATAACTTTCCCACTATTTCTTTCACATTGTTTTACCTATCATAGATTCTTTCATTTCCATGTAAAATTTACAATTTGAATATCAATTTCTTCAAGAAAATTTACTTGAATTTTTATTAGGATACAAGTGAACTTATCAGTTTAAAATAAATGGATATGGTATTATTTTATGAGTGCTTTCAAAATGCAATACCACAAGCTGGGGGCTTAAACAAGAAATTTATTTCATCACAGTTCTAAGGATTAGAAGCTCAATGTCAAGTGTCTGTGGGTTGACTTCCTCTGAGGCTTCTCTCCTTGGCCTGCACACGGCCACCTTCTTCTATGCCCTAGTATGGTCCTTTCTCTTCACATGCTTCTTCCTGTGTCTAAATGTCCTCTTACAAGGAGTAAGTCAGGTTGGATTAGGGCCCAACCTAACAGCCGCATGTTAACTTATTTACCAGTTAAAAGGTTCTATCTCCAAATATAGCCATATTTTGAAGTGTTAGAAGTTAGAGCTTTACTATATAAATTCCAGGAGCACAAAATTCAGCCCATAACAGGCATGTTATCAAAATCCATTTGACTAGTTATGATCATGGCATGTCTCTTGACTTATGTAACTTGTTTTAATTCACTTCACTAAAGTTTTGTTGTTTAAAATACAAGTCTTTCAAATAGCTTGTTAAATTATTCTTATGAATTTCCTGTTTTTGTTGCAATTCAAAATATTACCTTAAAATTCCATGTAAAATTCTTCATTTCAAGTGAATGAAAATACAATGGATTATCTTATATTAATTTTTTTTAATCTCAACAATTCACTTGCTATATGTAGTAAGTTTGTTTTTTTTTTTTTTGTTGTTGTTGTAGTTTGATTTCCTGGGATATTTATAAATGACATAATCATGTCATTTTTGAATGGAGTTTATTTATATACTTTTATGTTTTATAATTTGTGTTTATCTTGTATTTTGCTTATATTTTTTTCTATTTTTTTTCTTTTCTGTTCTTTTTATTTATTTTTTCCTTAATCTTTAGTTAGGCTCTATAATAAAAATTTAGTAGATATGGTCTTAGTACACATTCTTGCCTTGTTTTTTATTGTAGTTGAAAAACACTTTCAGTCATCCAACATTCAGTATAAAGTCAAATGCAAATTTTTCTAGATGGTCCTCATTAGACTAAAATAATTCTATTTTTAATTTGGTAAGTTTTTTGAGTTTTATTTTGAATGGATATTAAATTTTATTAAAATGTATAAAAATTTTACCAAAAATATTAAAATCCATACCCATTAATATGATTATCTCATTTTTTTCTTCTTTGTTAATTTGGTAAATGGCATTGATATTTTTGTGTTCAGTCTAGTTTTTCTGTATTTTTCTTGTTAATATTTTGTTACATTTCTACAGATAATCACTATGGGAGAAGAAGAAGATGGTGGATTAGAGAAAGGGAACATCTTCCAATTGCCCAATAGCTCAAGATTTAAGCAGCAAGAATATTATTTCTCAGTGAGGTGAGTGATGGAGGGAATTTACTAAAATTCAACATTAGACACAAATAATTGTAGAGACATGGAAATTAAGAAGCTTTGAATATAGAACAAGAAATAATATGTTAGAGACATGCCAGCTTTGCTGGCAGCAGTGGCATCAACACAGCCAATTTACTGCAGAGAGGAGGGGTAGAACAGGCAGAAAGAGAAAAAAAAATATTATGAATAAATTTGGCACCAGAGAATCTATGGAACAGAAAGGGAGGATATTCTTCACTGATCCAGAGATAGTGGGACAAACTGATGATTGATTAGTGCTCAGAATCTCTTGGCTGGTCAGTGGAGACTTAAAGTGGGGGCCATTTCCAAGTGGCTATGCAGCAGCTTTTGAGAGCAGGAGCTTGGGAGTTCATAAAAAGCATTACCAGGCTGTCCTAGCAAATACCTCACAGGGGTTCAGAGTGTCCCTGGTCCAGTGCAAATGAAATAGGCACAGATATGATTGTGCCCAGAGCAATCCATATTGGAGATACTGCAGGGAGAGAGGCTAGTGTTCCCTTTGTTAGTGGAAGCTCATGTAGGAGAGGCCAGAACCTGGTCAGAAAGGTGCATCTGGACTCCAGATCTGAACCTGGGGTATTTACATGTTTTAGCCAGCCTTTTCACTGTTGTGGATAAAAGACCTGATGAGAAAAAATTTGAGGAAATGTTTATTTGAGGGCTCACAGTTTCAGAGGTCTCAGTATATAGACAGCCTGCACCATTCCTCAGGGCTCAAGATGAGGCAGAACAAGATGGCAGAAGAGCGTGGCAGAGGGAGGCAGCTCACATAATGATAGGGAACCAGAAAGAGACTCCACTCACATGACACAAAATATTTACTCCAAAAGCATGACCCACAATGCCCACGTCCTCCAGCCACACCCTACCAGTCTTCAGCTACCACTTAGTTATTCCTATCAGGGGACTAATTTAGTGATTGGGTTAAAGTTCTCATAATCTAATCATTTCACCTATGAATGTTCTTGCATTGTCCCACACATGAGCTTTTGGGGGACAACTTACATCCAACCATAACAACTATGGTAGTTAAATATGTGATACTTGTAGAGGTTAAGATTCCCATTCTAAGAGAATATGTTTTAGAGGGTTCCTGAGACCTAGGAGCCCTGCAGAGATTGCAGGGTAATCCCAGCAATAAGGGGTGTGAGTCTAATCTGAAATACCTCCTGACAATGTTCCAAAGTACAGTCAGAATTAAACCTCAGATGCTAGAACTTCCAATTTGGAACTCTTCATCAACCCTACTCTAGGAGTGTGTTGACCTAGCCTATTCAGAAAAAACTTCAATTGTCAATATTCCCCAGTCTTACCTACTCTACAGTGAGATGGAAAGCTGAGAGCTACTACAACCAGCTTTGGTTTCTGACCACACCAGTTGGAAGCTTTGAAAAGAAAAAAAACATAAAGAGTTCAGGTTTAACAATCCACAGCTCTTGATGCAAGGAGTACATAGTGCAAACACAAAGAAGGTTACAACAGCAGAGGCAGTGAACACACATCATTATCGACAGTTTTGACCACTTCAGTGGAAACAAGCTCTTCATTTTTCATTAAGACTTTTAAATTTTTTTAAATTTTTCCATTTTTTTGTGGGGTGTGTGTGTATGTTTGCTGTAGTGATTGCTTCCAAAGCATATACACATTGATATTAATTGTCTTTCATTTTAATAATTTTTCTTCACCCATTTGTTATTCAACTTTGTTTTGACTTTGACTTTGGATAGAGAAAAAATTTTGTGGGTTTGTTTTGATTTGATTTTTTTGTTTGTTTGTTCTTACCTTTGTTTTGTTCCAGTTATTACTCCTTCTTTACTTTCTTCCCCCTCCAAGCCAAATCCTCACCTGGGAACAAAATTTTCACCTGGGAATGAAAAACACAATGAATTAATTAAATCAAGATGTAAATTGAGAATAACACCAAGGGATTAGATTACATGGAAAAATAGAACATCATGCCTCAAAGACAGAACTTCAGGTCTTGAAAACAAGGTTTATGAACTTGAATACTCAAAATGTAGTAAAGGAGGGTGGGGGGAAAGACCATGGTCAGAATATACAAGAACTCTGGGACAGTGTTAAGAAATGAAATGTAACAGTCGTTGAGATAAAAGACAACGTGGAGATATAGGCTAGTGGTACTGAAAACCTTTTCAGTGTAATAATATCAGAAAATTTTCTGAATCCTTGATTTTAGATAGGCATCCAATATAAGATGCACAGACAATTCCAAATAGATGAGATAAAGAAAGAACTTCTCCAAGACTCATCATAATCAAAATACTTAACAAAGACAATAAGAGAAGAATATTGAAAGCTGCAAAAAAAAAATCATTAGGTAACATTTAGAGGCAAACTGATAAGGCTCACTTCTGACTTTTCAAATTAAACCCTAAAATGAAGGAGGCCTTAGAATGAGATAATTCAAGCTAACAAAGAAACAAACAACAACAACAAAAACACCAGTCAACTTTGCTCTATCCAGCAAAGGTATGTCTCAGAATTGAAATAGAAATAAAATCTTTCTGTGATAAGGACAAACTAAAATAATTAATGACCAATAAGCCTATGGGAGACTGCAATATCCAGGATTAAGGTCTGGCAAATTTAGTGTCTGGTGAGAGCTCTCTTCCTTCTATGTGTCCTCACATGGTGGAAGGTAAAAGTATATCCTCAAGCCTCTTTTAGAGTAGCAACAAAACTACTCAAGAATAGAGAACGGTCATCACCTAATCTTATGTAACTTATCATTGTCTACTTTGAAATAAAGTAAAGCCTTTTTACTCAAAATACAGTAATATTGCATCACTTTACCATTCCTTTTTCTATTTTTGTTATATGTGCTTCCTCAAATGTTGCAAACTCCAAAATACATTTTTATTGCTTTAAGCAGTCAGTGTCATTTAATAAAAGTAGATTACATCAAATAGGTTTTTAAAATTCATAAATTGCTATTTCTAGTGATCTTTATTCATTTGTATAGGTTCAAATTACTACCTGGTCTGACTACACTCAAGCCTGAAGAACTTTCTTATAATTGTATTCTCATAATAGTAAATTTTCTCAGTTTACATTCCCAGAAAAATTTCTGAAAAAGTAGCATTTTTTTTCACATTCCCACCAACAGTATATAAGAGTTCCTATTTCCTGGCATCCTCACCAGCATTTATTATCTGAATACTTTTGTTGTTGTTATTACTTACTCTTTTGGTATTGGGGGTTGAACCCAGAGACATTCAAGTATAGTCATTTTTATTTTTATTTTTTTATTTTGAATCAGGCTTTTGCTCACGCTGGTTTGGAAATTTTGATCCTCCAATGGCTCAGCCTCCTAAGTAGCTGGGCTTCCATGTATGTGCCACTACATGGAGTTTTATTCATATTTTTGATTATTGCCATTCAAATGGAGTTGAATGCAATCCCAGTGTAGCTTTTATTTGTATTTCACTGAAGGCTAAAAATGTTATGGTTTTTAAATGTAATTATTAGCCATTTATACTTCTTCTTTTGAGAAGTGTCTATTCTATCAATTTACCCATTTATTAGATTTTTTTTTTGGTGAGTGTGTTCCCTAATTAGTATAATTACTATGGAAATCATTATGTAGGTTCCTCCAAAAACTTAAAAATAGAAATATCATATGACCCTGTTATACTACTCATTCAAAAAATGAAAGTCACCATACTTAGGGATATATACATATCCATGTACATTGTGGCACAATTCAAATAGTCAAGTAGTTATGAAATGAGAATAGGTGCCCTCAACAGATGAATGGATAAGTAAAATAAATGTGGTATACCTAACAGTGAGGTTTTATTAGACTATAAATAAGAATAAAATTATGTAATCTACAGAAAAATGAATGGAGTTGGAGAGTGTCGTATTCAGAAAGCGAGACATGGAAAGACAAGTATCATATATTTTATATTATATGTGGAAGATAAATGGGAAAAAAAGAAAGAAAAATATGATGTGAAAACAGAAGAGAGACAATTTGGATAGAGAAACGAAGTCAGGGGAAGGGAGAAAAGGAAGCAAAGGTATTAAAGTATGAAATTGAATATTCCTCAATAAAATCTACTTTTCTATATAATTAATATGCACCAGTTAAAAATAGTATCCTATGTCTTGTGAAATTAGAGTTCAACCAGAAGTATCCTTTGGGTAGTTGTGCCCTGGAAGACAAAGAAGAATTAAACTATGTTTTAATCATAAAGGAAAGAGAAATACTTTACTCAATTGTGTTTCAAATAAAACTGTCATTATTAAAGAAATTCTTTGTTCCATTTCTCTTATGTTAAAAATAGAAATTTGAAAGAAGAAAAAGGAAAGAGTAAAAATAAAAAGAAGCTGTTTATATATATTATATTTATATTTATAATATAAACAGCTATATATATACATTATGTTGGACTTTTAAAAGTATAGTTCTGTTAACTTAGAACATCTCTTTACATACTATTTTCTAGTATATGTTTTTATGTTATTGTTTCTTTTGTAATGAATAATTTTGTGGCTTCTGTTTTTCAGTTCTGTATAGAGAAACATATTTTACCTTTATTTCAATCACTGATGGTTCTGAAAGTTAGTTTTTCTATCCCATTTCTACTCACATAGAAATTTTATTTTTAAGGCAATACTATTCATTGGATTTGTCACATGTAAGTAAATACACCTACATAGCTGCTTTTAAAAATAATCTAAGTATCTTGGTCTTGTAGTAAATTGTCAACTCCTTGAGCAACCATGTTTATTAAACCTGTCAAGCAAGGAATGCTATTAAAAGATATAGCATTAGATGACTCACAAAGGCTAATAGTTCAATTTTCTTAGCTCTTGTTCAGTTATTATGTTATAAACTCTAGAGCTACAAAAATAAACACTTATTTGTAGTCATAATAACTGCCAGATTCTGCCATGGTGTCTAATTGAGTATATAATTAACTAAAATAACAAGCTCACAAATATGTATTTGCAGCACAACATTTGCTAGGTGGAAGCTGTTAAAGTGCAATGCCCCATGCTGTGGCAAATAGTATTAATATTAAATATCTTTTTGGCACTTTTAACCTCTATTAAGAAAAAGAAGTAAAATTGCAAAAATATTAATCCACTTATGAAATTTTCCTTTCTATCAAATAGGTTTTCTGTGTTCTTTTATTGAAAAGGTAAACTTATTTTCAATGATTATTTCCTTCTTTATCTCAAGGAAACCCAGAATATCAATATATTTCATAGATAAAAGCAGTAGGATTTTTTGATAGATTGTAAGCCAGCTGTGATAAAAACAGGGGCATGAAGCTGAGCACAGTGGGACACGCATGTAATCCCAGTGGCTTAGGAGGCTGAGGCAGGAGGATCACAAAGTCAAAACCAGCCTCAGGAACTTTTCAAGGACCTAAGAAACTCAGTGAGACCCAGTCTCAAAATAATAATAATAATAATTAATAATAATAATAACAAATGAAAGGGAGATGACTCAGTGATTAAGCATCCCTGGGTTCAATCCCTAGTATCAAACTGAACCGAACCAAAACAAACAACAACATAAAGGTATGAGAATGCCCCAAGCTTAATAAAGCAAGTGGAATATTAAATTTCCATCAGCCGAGATGAGGAAGACAGTGGATGGTGTAGATTTGTGTATAAAATAGGAATAAGAAGTTCAAACTGGGGCATTGTTTGATGAGAGATGTATGGTAGTCTCCACATGGAGAACCTGCCTAGACTCTGGCTATGAGTTCAAAGTTCACAGTGATTTGGTTTGTAGATGCAGGTTTGAAGTTATTTGAACATACATGACATTTATAGAAGGCATGAAGATATCACCCAAGAAAGGAGGATAGAGATGAAAATCAAGAATCAAATGATACATCAAAGAAGACTAGCAGGAACGATTGGTGATCAAGGAGGAAAAGAAGCAGAATGTGGTTTCCTAGAATACAATTGAAGCAAATATTAAAATAAAGAGGTACAATCTCATTTGAACAACTCTGTCAAATGCTGTGATTGGTTAAGTGCAATGAGAAGAAAGATGGAGTATTTGACTTATTAAGGTAGAGGTCATTTAACCTATCTGAAATTTATTTATTTTTAATTCCTTTTTTATTTTTGGTGTGGAAGAATGCAAAATGAGATCTGTCGTCTTGAAATTTAAAGCATATAAGAGACTATGATTGATTATAGGTATAATTTTGTGGCAGATCTCTAGAAAGTATTCATCTTACTTTCTGTCCATTGATTAGGAGCTTCCCATTTTCCCTGCCCCAGTCCTTTCCAATCACCATACCATTGTTTGATTCTAGGAATTTACTAGTTTATATAACTCCTATAATCAGAACTTTGCAGTATTTTTCTTTGTGGAAAAGGCATATTTCACTTGACATAATGCCCTTACAGTTCAGTTCACCCATATTGTTACATGTTATAGAACTTCCTTCCTTAAACTTTAACGTTACTACATTACATACATTTATCACATTTTTTGAAACCCCTCAACTATCCACAGACATTTGAGTTGTTTCACATCTTGATGATTATGAATCCTGCTGCAATGAACATGGGTTTGCTAATATGGTTTCAAGACCTAATTTCAGTTCTTCTAGGTAAATATACAGAAGTGGTATTTCTGGATTATGTAATGGTTCTATTTTTATGATTTTGAGTAGTATCGATACTGCCTTCTATAAAGGGTGCACCATTTAGTATTCCCATTAACAGTGTGCATGGATTCCAATTTTTGTACAACTTCACTAAGATTTGTCTTTTTATTTTTGTCTTAGCCATCCTGATAGGTGTGAAGTATTTCTCTTTGTGGCTTTAATTTTCATTTCCCTGGTGATTAATGACATTGAACATTTT